AAATGGCAGATAACATGTAAAATAGAGGCAAGATGGAATGCATTGGTTCTTCACACTGGGGAGCACAGCTAGTGGTTTTTAAGACAAGTCATAAGAACAGCAAGGGTGGCCTGATCAGAACGGGGGGAGAATCCCTGATGCTGCTTGATGACAATGTCCATTGCCAGGGTCCAGCACAGCTCAGAATGAGGCCATGGAATAGGTAGCACATGCTGAACCAACGGTCCCAATTCCGCCCTTGTGGCACTGGATGGCTCTGTTGCCCCCCTGATGTTGTGAAGAAGCAAACTCTGCTCCTGGAGCCTTGCAGCCAGGCAGTGGGGAGCACGCAGCAGCCACCCACCCTGTGAGCTCAGAGCCTCAGACGCACACGGTGGCCAGTGAATCACCCAGCACAAGCCCACCAGAGCCAGCTCCTTGAGCCCTCTGCTGCCTGCTCACCAAGGGCCCAGTACATGAACTTCAGGGCCAGCCATGGCCAGAGCAGACCTGGTTCTCACAGCAACTCTCTTGAGCATCAAGACAAGAACCAGGGGCTGGTCACAACCCTCAGTCAAGTGTGGAAATTCTACCCCCAGAAAGCAGTCCAGTGCTTTCTCACCCCATTACCATTCTTGCTGCTGTGTGGGTGGCTCACTGCAAATGAAACCAGCAGTGGCTGAGCTGGGGAGAAGCAGCCAACCTCAAACTCCTCAGCTTATGGCAAATTCCCCCAACAGCACCAAGTAGGAAAGTCCCAGTGATATGTTAGTGACAGAATCAGTAACCTTCAAACAGAGGACAAACACCACACTGCTGTGAACACCCTGCTTGCATGGAGCACAGACAGGACCACAGAAGCAGCTGATCAGCCACTGAACCCCAGGGCTCCTTAGGACACCTACCACACTCCATAGACTGAGGCAGGGCTAGTGCAGTCATCCCTCTACCCAAGGCAGGCTGAGGGGTGCAGGCTGGTAGTGTGCTGTAACAGTTGCCTCTCTGCATTCATAATACAGAATTTTAGGTCTCCTGCACAGATGTTCAGTTTTATAAAAGGTATTCCAGTTAAGAGCGAAAAAGAGAACAGCTGCTCCTCCCCCTGTGCAGCTAGATGTGCCACAGCAGTGAGCTCCTCTCTGTTCAGCCAGGGCTGCAGCCAGTTTTTCTCCTCTTCCATCTTGCAGTCTTGCTAGAGGGGTCAAAAGCAGCTTTATGGAAATATCCATGTTGAAGAAAGCCACAGAAGGGACAGGATAGGAGCAGGACAGCTCAAAGTAAAAACAGGCAAAGAACCTTTGGCCGGCACACAGTGGAGATGTAAAGTTCCTCTCAACGTTGCTTTCTCAGCTCATCAAAGGAATGGGAACACTCAGGACTTGGCAAACTGCTGGTGTTGCTGATGGCTGGGAAAACACACCAAGGTATGGCAATCTAGCAGGCTTAAACTTTGGCTTTTACCTTCGCTTTCGAGCAATCTGCTCTGAGAGATGATACTCCTGCAGCTGAAAACCACACCAGTTTTACTGTTCTCCTTGCTCTGATTGCCAGCAAGTTCATGCTGAACTGCTGCTTGGCTTCTGACCCTGTCACCACAGCTCGAGGGGCCCAGGGCTGGTTCCACAGCTGCAGTGTGGCTGCTTTGGCACAGCAGTGTGTGGAAAAAAAATCAACATCCTGGGTAATGTGTAATGATACATCACCACATGGGAGCCTGGGCAGACCTTATACTCAGCAATCTGCAGAGAGTGGAAAATGATCTGTGTGTGTGCACTGCACAGTTCCACTAAGAGTGAGTCAAAAACACCTATTCTTTGTGAAAGCAACTGTACACAAAATTACACACTTTGGAAGCATCTCTGTCAGAGCTAGAATACAAACTGCATAAATCCCTAAGAATTTTTCCACAGCAAAGACATGACTTGAAGAAAACAAAGTTTTCTCAAGTCTCTGTTCACTAAGGAATTTTGTCACATAATTCTGGAGTCAGAGATGGACGTTAAGGAGTGGGATTTTGGAAATCACAATTTCCTCATTTGGTTTTCTCACCCTTTGTTCCTTTCATCATGTCACTGCTAGAATGCAACACCTAAAATAAGTTTTCTTAGATAAAGTTTGTAGCTCATGATGGATAAGCACTTGGAATCCATGCATCCTGCCCAAACAATGCAAGATGCAGAGGTAAGTATGTAAAGAGCTGACCCTCACCTTAAATTAACTGGTCCCTGCCCCCCAAAACTGGACCCCATATCCATAAACTCCTGCACCCTCATCTTGTGTTTACTGTTAAGTTTTCCACAGGCAATGACAAACATTGAGGTTGACAGGAATTTGCCATCAGCTGTTCCATACAGGTGCATGCTTCCAAGGAGCTAACACTGTCCAGAAAGAGGAAAAAGAAAAAGAGGCAAGGCTGTGGCGTTCCCTGCAAAAGAGTAGCAGTCTATCAGAACTAGCTTCCCCTGAACTGGGGATACACCTGCTTTTCTCAGGAACCCATTTCACTCATGGTGAGTCAGGCTGCTAATATGTGGTAGGCAGCCAGGAGAGAAAGATCTGGAGGTGGAGTGACTGTGAGATAATAATAAACGGCATTATAACTAGGCTAAAACTTGGCCCAAGCTTCCACTTGCACTACAGTCTTACAAAACAAACTGAGAAATACTGAAAATACACTTATATGAGCCGTAATTCTGTGTCACAGTAGGAGCACTCCACTAGCTAAAAAAGACATGCTTGGAGGGTCCCAGCCTTCAGAGATGAAGTTCCTCTCTCGGGAGGGGAAGGTGCCTTTGCCAGCACAGGCTGGTCCCCAGGGGGTGCGGCTCGGGCCCCGGCAGCTTGCTGCAGGATGGGGCGCCAGCTCAGGCAGAACTCCCACATAATGTTGGGCCAGAAACCTGGCACCTGATGCCTGCCTGCATTTTACAGCCTGGCAATAGCTCTGGATGACAAAAGCAGAGGCAGTGGAGGATGGAACATGACCCAGATTCCCACCGCAGTCACGCACCATGCGGGCTGCAGCACGCAGGGTGAGCTGGCCAGTCCCAGCCAGCCCCCGTGCTTATCAACAGCTCTGGGTTATGAAAGGAATGGGGCTCCCCCTCTCCAAGAGCTACAGTTTGATTTCACCAGAGAAATACTGAAGGGGGAGAAGGGGAAGAATACTCAGGCACAAAAGGCGATCATATGGAACTAAGCAGAAAAGAGGGCACAGCTATCTAGGAGGAAAAGAAAAAAAAAGCTGAGGAAAGGCACAGTCAGGCTGGGGCTCAGCAGAGAAGTGCTGCAGCAGACAGCTTTCTGGCCTGAGCAGCAATCTCCTGGGTGCTCCAGCCAAGTGCAAGCCTTCCAGGAGGATTTCACAAAGAGCACAGGGGAGATTGCAGGAGCAGACGGGGAAGAAAGCACCACTAGTGTCCCTGCGCCTCACTGAACAGCCCTGTGCTACTTAGTCATCAGTGAGCAACCCATTCTGGGTAGCTGCAATAACTAGCTCTGGGTTTTTGCTTAAACTTGACTTTGCTTGGATTTAGGGAAGTGAGCCAAGCTTACTCAAGAGGCAGAGCATGGCCTCTGTGCATCTTCCTGTTACACCATTTCAGTGAGGGTTTGGTTGATGGGTCCCGGAAAGCCTCTTTGTCTCTCTGCCTCACAGAGTCTGTGCTGATGTTAACTACAGCAGCAACTGCCCTCATCCAAAGAAAGCACGTTTCTGAGAGGGTTAAACCTCACCTGAGTGAAAATAAAATTCAACCCAATATTTTCAGTAAAAACAAATAAATAACATGTTCATCAGCACTTTAGATATAAGCAGCAAGATCTTTCACTAACCACCAACATAATGAAAGTGAGCTATAAACCAGTGCCTATACCAATATCAACTATCACACCTAAACAGACACTTCACTGGGAGTCTCCTTCCAGGGCTTACATACCCTTTTTTACAGCTGCAAAACTGATGGACTGCTTGGCCAACCTGAACTTTGAAAAAAGATTTGCAGTACAAAAACCTTACTTGCAAAACACATTAAATCAGTTTCTGTGCTTAGCATTATGGTTTCCTTCCTTATGAACAGCAAGGCACATAGGTTTTTCCAAATAACGATAATACCCACATTTTAATACACATAAAGTTACTTAACAGTTCTTAACTATTTTGTACCACTGCCAGCATACTAGGGTGGAATTTACCATTCAAAATATATGATAATGCTGTAGGAAAGTTCAGAGTCATGAGTAAAACTTTTGGAACAATTACAGAATAATATATGCTGCCTTAAAGCTGCAGGAATAACTCCCATTCTGACTGGACAAGAAGCTGAAAAAAAACGGTCCATCACTTTAGGGAGTCTGGCAAAAACTGTATAAACTTTCTGGGAAAACTGCTTAGAAATGTCTGATTCCATTTCCAGCTGTAGGAGTACAAAATAACTCTGCTTGCTTCTACTGAATAAGAAACTAATCATCAATAATAGCATTGCTTAAGCCCAATTACAGTAATCTTTATTTCAGGTCTTGAGCAAGTATAGAACATATACCTCGTGCTGTGGGTGGCCACACAGGAACCCCTCCAATAAGTAACTTCTGGAAACTATCTCATATGGTCCCTTCCCTTTGACCTGCACCACGTCCACTTACAGGTGTGTCAGCACCTTCCACATCACCTTTGTGTGCTTCCCAGGCAACACACAGAGCCATGGCCAAAACCACAGGAGTTTACTAAGAAATCCAACTTTATGCAACTGCTGCTCACTTTTGGAGAACTATCATGGCCAGAGAAACATTAGCTCTGGCTTTGTCCCCTGGATAGAGCTATAGCTGCACTCATTAGGAGCTAACCTCACTACTGCCCAGGGGCCCCCACACACACCAACTGCCAGCCCTGCAGCAGACACAAGTATCACAACCCACTGAATCCAGCCCTCACTTGAGGCATGCCTGGAAGAACAAGCAAACATTTCCATTTCCCATACAGTTTATTTCCAAACACTGGCTTGGTTCAGTCTTGGCAAGCATGGCTAGGCTACCTTCATGTAGCAGTTGTCCTCCTGTGCAAGGGCTTGTACAAGTTTCATTTTTTTCTCATTCTTACTGTTGTTTTCCCTCAATAGCTCTACTGGTCCTTTTTCAACTGCAGGTGCCAGTCTGGAACCCTCATTGTGAATGGTGTAAGATTCAGAAGGACAGGAGTTATCCACAAAAAGTGGAGGTGGCAACTTGTCTGAGACCAGGAGCTCCAGGGGCTCTGCAGTTTTTCTTTCCAAGTTTAGCCCAGTGCTGTCCAGTGACTCTTCTGGTGAGTCACACTTCCTGCCTGCTACCTGCCTTATCACCTCTTCATTTGCCCCTGCATTTCCAAGTTTCTTCAAGTGGTTGTGTGTGTGACAGTGACAGTCAGTATTTAGTCTGTTGCTGCTGCTCTCTTGCATTTCTTTATCAGTATAGTTAAACCTGGTGGGTTTTGTTCCCTTTACAGTGTTTTCTACGCTATTAAAACCTTGACAGTTCAGCTCTAACAAATGCAGCAGCTGTTTGTCTCGGCTGGTATTTTCCTCTTTGCTATCACCAGACAGCCCATTAGAGTTGATGATCCAGAGATTGCCATCACTGCTCTGTGTGACATGCTCATTACAGACTGCACCTGGGACAGTGCTGCAGTCAAAACCCTGTACAATCAAACCTACGTGCTCATCTGTCCTCTGGTCAGGCTCACAGATTAGGGTCTCTGGAGGTGTTCCTCTCAGGCTGTTGTATAAAAGATGAATGACAGGTTCATATAGTGGCCTAGAGACACCCTTGCTGTCCTTGTCACAGTACGTGCCATTATATTCAACTGAATCATTAAAAGGTTGATAACCAGCTGTTTGAAGTCCAATGGGGAAATAAATGGTACTTGCTTTCTTTTGAACATTTTGATATGTTACTTGCTTATGTATTTCTTCCTCTGGTAGGAAAGCTAAAGCACTGTCATTTACATCCCTGGAGAAAGATGGAAAATCAGTATATTTTGAACAGGTTTTTTGAAAGTCAAGCTGATTGTAGGAAGACCCGTAGTTGGTATCATGTGTCTGATTGCTTGGGCGTCGATAAATTTCATCTCTGCAGCCAAGGTCTGGTGTCTCTGAAAACTCTGACAAAGGTGGTGAGGAGCACACATTTTTAGTACATGGAGTCAGGCTACTCTTAGCCACAGACTGAGAGATAAGGGTATCAAAGCTCTTATACGTAGAGCTACTTGATTCCTTGAATGCAGACACAAGAGTATCAAAGCTCTTGTAGGCAGAACCACAGGGCTCCACGGATGGAGAGATAAGGGTGTCACAGCTCTTGTAGGCAGAACTACATGGTTCCATGGATGGAGAGATGAGGGTGTCACAGCTCTTGTAGGCAGAACTACATGGTTCCATGGATGGAGAGATGAGGGTGTCACAGCTCTTGTAGGCAGAACTACATGGTTCCATGGATGGAGAGATGAGGGTGTCACAGCTCTTGTAGGCAGAACTACATGGTTCCATGGATGGAGAGATGAGGGTGTCACAGCTCTTGTAGGCAGAACTACATGGTTCCATGGATGGAGAGATGAGGGTGTCACAGCTCTTGTAGGCAGAACTACATGGTTCCATGGATGGAGAGATGAGGGTGTCACAGCTCTTGTAGGCAGAACTACATGGTTCCATGGATGGAGAGATGAGGGTGTCACAGCTCTTGTAGGCAGAACTACATGGTTCCATGGATGGAGAGATGAGGGTGTCACAGCTCTTGTAGGCAGAACTACATGGTTCCATGGATGGAGAGATGAGGGTGTCACAGCTCTTGTAGGCAGAACTACATGGTTCCATGGATGGAGAGATGAGGGTGTCACAGCTCTTGTAGGCAGAACTACATGGTTCCATGGATGGAGAGATGAGGGTGTCACAGCTCTTGTAGGCAGAACTACAGGGCTCCATGGATGGAGAGATGAGGGTTTCAAAACTCCTCTGTGCAAGGTTGCTTATTCTGTCCTTATTGGTCCCAAAGGATAATTTATTTGGACATTCCTGGATCAGGACACATGAGTCATGTTGACTTTCAGAACTGCATGAAAAAAGACTTTGATGAACTGTGTGTTGAAGATCTCTTGCATCCAGAGAAGCAGAATTTATGCTGGAGCTCCGATAGCCAGATTCAAAGGATTCTTCTGATTGTTCTGACTTCTTGCTGGCTGTACTGCAATTGTACCGATCCTGAGAGGCTTTGGTGAAAAGGGAGACTGTGAGAGTAGCATCACATGGCCACTGACTCTGGACAGTGCTTTCTTTTGTGTTTTGCTGTGATGGATTTTCTGACTCAAGTTTCTCAAAGTTTTTATTCTCACCTGGGATGATGTCTGAGTCTTTATTGTCTTGCATGTTGTGCTCATCTGCCAGGAGCTCAATAAACATGCGAGCTAGTGCATCGTTGTGTTCAGTGTGCTCTCTGAAAGGACTGGCACTGCTCTCACCAGGTTCAAAGACAGTGATCTGGCCACTAGTCTCTTCCTGGGTCTCAGCCTCAATGTCTGTTAAACATGGACAGATTTCTAGAGACTCTTCAACCACATTTGTCTCAGGGATTAAAAATGCACTGCTGACTTTTGGAAACTGCTCTCCAGACTCGCGCTGGCAACTGCAAGATTTCTCAACGTTTCTGACGTTACCTTTTCCCTTGAAGTTTTGGCTTGACAAACTCTGATCCAGACAGTTCTTGCAACTCCTGTTTTTGGAAGTCAGAAGGAAAGGACAGTTAATGTTTATGTAATAGGAAACTATTTTATGCTGTAAAGAATAGGGTTTTTTTCCTTCCTCTTACTTACATTTGGTTTTCCATATGACTCCGCTTTAACTCATGGAAAGGGAGCTTAATGTCGTCAATGTAGCACAAAACTGAAAACTAATAAAGATACAAATAAGACTTAGGACATATCCCCTGCACTAGCCAGACAAGAACATTTACTACTTGTTCTACTTCTGGTGACCAGGAAAAGGTATTTTTTTGAAACCTTTTAAATTACCTTGACATTTTTTACGACCAAATGGCTCTTTGCTGGATCTGGGATTTGATCCCACCATTCTTTCTTCACTCTGCAAGGGAAGAGTTGAAGTTGTTTGCTTTAACTGCATTTTGGTTTAATCAGGGTACACTCTCCTCTTCTGTTCTCTCCCTCCCAGCCATCTGTATTAAATTGCAGCAACAGGAAGTGCTTGCTCTGCACATCACCAAGTGCTGTTTTTCATTAAACTAGTGCAAAGATGTTTGTACATTTGGCGTGTGGCTGCTGTGCACAACCACAGTCACATGTTCTTCTAATCATGTTTTACATTATATGCAAATCAGATATGATCCCACTTTCACATTACCACTAAAAAAACCAAACAAAACAGATATTTAACCATAATCACTGGAACTCCAACAGACTGAGGCTCAAAACTGACAAACGACACAACTGCAGCCTGTTTTGGATGCTGTGTAACAAGCCCATTACAAAATTAATAGAGAATACTCAGTTATGTATTCAGAAAATGAGGAAATGCCACAGATTTGTGTATGTAAAACGTTTGCTCACAGACAGCAAGATGAAGGTGCTGAGAAAAAAAATGAAAACATTAGATTCCTCCACTACTAGACACTCATCTAATCGACAGCAATAGTGATATCTGTGCAAAATACCACTCTGTAAAACCTGTAAACAGCATGATACATACTTGGCAAAACAGAAGTAACAAATTACAGACACTGCCATGATCAGTATGCAGGATACAGGAACAGCCAGCTGCAGAATGTCTTCAGCTGTTACCTGGTAATCTGTTAAACAAACATACACATTTACATGTGGTATGTGCACATATATATAAATACTGACAATACCAAATTCACTGCTCTCCTTGTGCACCTTAAAAGAATGCTCCTTTGGAGGATGTAAAATAAAGCCTCCAGCAGACAGAAACCAGAACACACAGTGACCAGTGGTGAGGGTGGCTGGCACAGCTGAAAGGTCAGTGGAGACATGCAGCAGTTACTGCGAGCATTAGGAGCTGGGAGAGCCAGTGTGATGTGGGAGGCCATGTGTCAGCTCCCAGGGGCAAACCTGTCAACACAGCCACTAAATGGCATTATCATCTCCACCATAGTGCAGCTAAGCCTCTCGTCCTCTCTGATGCTCTTCAGAGATTTTTATAGCTAAAATGTTGCTTGATTTGCAGGCTAAGTATCTCTTGTTCATTTATACCTACTTGCTTCTGGTCAATTTTGTGCTTTAGTTTAAATCTCTCTTCTCCTTCCCTGGTTTTGACTTCATGAAATATTTTTAGAGAATAAACACATCCCCTTTCAGCCTTTTTTTTCACAAGGTTAAACAACCCCACTTCCTTGGTCTTCCTTAGTCTCTTTGGAAGCCTTTCTAGATGTATCCACAATACTTTCAAATGTACAGAGATGATGATTCCAGAATTCTCCTCTAGAAGGAGAGCACCATGGTAAGCAAGATATGGTTTGTAAAACTATACCACCCTTTTAGCAAGCTGCTATTTGTGACAACACTTACCACTGTGAAATTCAACTTCTTCACTCCATTCACTCCAGTAGGCTGGGTAGTTTGTGTAGTTACACCTCACGCTTGCAATGTAATCATAGCCTCTCCTCAAGGAGCTTGCAATAATTTCAATGCTTTTTGCCTGGTAATTGATTGCTTTTACAGAAACCTGAAAAGAAAGTGAGAATGTTCACTTGGATTTTTTTTTTTTAGGAGGTGAAGGGTTAGTGACAGCAATTAAGTAACAATAGTGTTACATGTTTCAGTGACCTTTGGCAGATGAGCAAATGAATGACTGTATACCTAATCTGCTGTGTGTGATACTGCACTTTGTTGCCACGAGCAGGTGATTTTTCTGACATACCACCATGGATGTTCCTTCCCCACCAGGAGAAGCCCAGCCCTGAAGTCTGGGATTGTTCAGGAGAGTGTGTGAAATGCCAAACACGCCACAGAGTCATGAACAGTCTTCAGCTTCCTGATATCCAAGGAACAAATGAAGTTCTGGAACAGGAACACTTCACTTTCAGTGTCTGCCCTGTCTACTGTGAGCAGCAGACTCTTCTGGTCTGGCAGTCAGAAGTTTCAATCCTTTAAAGCCCAACTAATCCTCCCTGGGACTATGCGACCTGTGACAAACGTGTAATCAGCAACATTGTGGGACTTGCCCTTGCTGGCCTATACACCATTATTCATTAAATACTTTCAAGACCTTTTAAGCCTGAAATCTCCACAGAGACAGAAAATTAAGAGACCAGCTGTCTCTTACCTCTGCTGGGTGCTGCTTCCTCCAGTATTTCACTTCATAGATGACTGGCTGTCCAGAGAGCATGGATGGGGAAGTGTAGCTCTCCTCCCAACTCAGATTGAAATTACCATTTTCAGCTTTCTCAATGGCAAGATTTTTGGGGGCCCTTGGCTTAACTGTATGTTAAAAAATACAATTAAGGGGAATGTGGCAATGGAAAAGCACTGATGGTGGGAAGCAGAGAAACATTCACCAGAATTGCACTGCAGGCAATGCACTTAGCCCTTTTCACTACACTGTACCACAAGGCTAGAGAGGCAAAAACAGAGCAACTACAAGGTATTCATTAACAAGAACTCAATCTTCATGCTGGCTGAGCAACCTGCAAGTTCAACCTTTTAGTGCACTGGATGCACCTTTCAGCCTGGAAAAATGGGAACAACCTGCACCCTGGGCCATGGGATAGGCCCACTGCTCCCAACAGCTTAACAGCCAGGCTGTCCTGGATACATGTCTCTTAGACTGATGGTAAGGCTCCTGTTTACTCTGCTGATAAGCAGCAGCAACAATCAAGTACTCTGAAAAGAAGCAGTTCATTGATGAAGATTAGTGCCTACCTAAGGTATGTGAATTATTTCTCTGAGCATTTGAGGTGACAAGTGTTATGAACGAGCACAGTTCTACACAAACTATGTGCCTATGGGGAGACATAAACTGTATATGTGCTTCTGTGGAAAGAGCAGTCATTAACTTTTTATCACTGGCTGTTATAATGCAGCAGCAATTACTGTAAGAATCTTTCATCAGGGGGATGACTTAACTAGCATGAAAAATCAGAGTATGGCAGAGACAGGAATGGAAGAAATTCCAGCAGGGATAGCCCAGTGTCCTTCCAGAAACTGGAAGGAGCACATTCCTCTTCATTCTTGAACTCTACAGCTACAAGTAAAATGCAGTGAAGACACATCTAAGCCCATGAACTGCTGTTGGTTGGCAGCAGAGAGGGTGCAGCTAAAGGAAAAAAACATTACTTATACTCTTTCCTTAAAAATCTACTCCAGAATCAGGTTTCTAAGCCACATGGATTTTGCACGTAAGTCAGCATGGCACTTTTCACCTATGATAAAGAAAAACTGTTCCAGTGACATTAACGAGGAGTTAGATAGGATTGCAAAGCCTGGAACCAAATGTCCTGGTGCCAAAGTGAACAGTTACTTACCTACCAGGGCTGGTCTAACACTGTAATTCCATATATCAGTCCCGTTGAACTGCAGAGCTAGAATATACACGAGGCCTGACACAAAATAATTTGGATGTATTGTGCAAGTGCACCTTAAACTGTCTTTTCCATTCTCAGGGACACACACATTCATTCTGAAAAACAGGCAAAAAAATTATGTGATGTTTAGAGTATGGCACACTATTTACTGAAACAATCAAGCCTTCCATTGTGTAGAGCTCATGAAATCTGAGGCAAGCAAGCTCAGTTCCTAGAAATGTTTAGTCCAAACAAATCCAAACCAAAACTGAGCTCCTCCAAACTCCCAGACAACCCACCCTCCCCAAACTTGACAGAAAAGCTAAGGATTGATCCCAAGAGGAAAAATTAACACCCTTCATCACACTTCAACTTTTGAAGGAGCAGGCTGACAGCTTGCTAGCATAGAAACAGGTTTACTGCAGTGTATGAGGTGAGGCTACGTGGATGTCTGTGCGGAGAAATCATATGGACAGGAAAAAAGAGAGTCCAGATGCATCTTCCTTTGTAGGAGATGATGACAGGCCCTGCTGCAGAACAGGGACAAGTCTGTGCTTGAGCACAGAGCTAAACTGTAGGCAGAGACAATTGCCTGGGCTCCAGGGGACAGTACCTTTCACACAGACTACAGGCTAGTAAATCAGGTAAGATGTCTCCTGAACGAGGTAAAATTTTGCATGAAATGAAGGTCATGTAAATTTATGAGAGCCCTACCACTCCTACAAGTAGGACTTCATCACTCCTCTGTGCTATGAGTGCAGAGAAGAGCAGACCACTGAACAGAACATGCTGTTAATTGCAGCAACCCACTTTCCTCCTGGCAAGAAGAATAATCTGGATTATGTTTTGTCCCAGACACCCATGGAGGGAATCAAAGGTGATGATGGCTATAGGATATACCAAGTTTCAGCAATGACAATGGAACATCTTACTAAACTTACGGTGGAGAAAGAAGTTCTTTTCTGTAGTGGAGCAGGAATTCTTTGGAGCAATTTGTTTGTGCAGGTACCTTCCAGTGACAAGTGAGCTCTTTGTCATAGTCAGTGAAGCAAGCAAATTCCTCTACACGTCCTGCAGCCATAACTAGGGAGAAGCAGCACACAATGCAAAGCAAGAGAATCAAAACAATAAGTTTGACTAAGCAGAAACATTAACTTATCCATCTAAACAGAGCTACCAACCCACTATAGATTAAGGCAAAATGTTGCTATTATCTCCACCTTGCTGGAGTCAACATCTACGGTCTTGGAAGGTCTGCAGTAGTAATACTGAAATAGAAGAGCACAAGTCCTCCAACACAGCCCTCCAAGCATAGAAAATCTGATTCTGACAGCTCTACCTAAAATACATAAACATTTATTTTAATACATCATCATCCCATGTGTTACCTACAAAAGATTCCAAAGCACAGATAGCAGTCATACCAAGATCACTGCTGGCAGGCATGTACTTTATCTACAGTGGTTCTCAGCTTCCCAAATGCATGCCCTCTGCTCCCCCAAGCAGTTCCCCACTGCATAGAACATACTCCTGTCACAGGCTTTCTTACAGCACACACCTTTTCTTAATTTCACTCAGTATTTCCTGTTTTGTCTTCTACTTTTCATTGTTACGATGGTGTTTGGAAACCTGGAGAGATTTAGTCACCTTGTTTCAGGCATTGAGAGAGTACAGAAAAGCCCAAAGTCTCTGCACTCCCAATGTTTTGTATTTACAGTCTCTTCCACTGGCAGTATTTAAGGAAAAAAAATAATAATCAAAAATCAGTCAAAATATCTTTGTTAGAACTGGAAAGGGAAATGGAATACACAACCTTGTGTATCCCTTCCAGGCTTATTTTGCATTATTTCAATGCACTCCACATGAGTGAAACCAGGAACAGAAAAGGAGGAGCTATGTGACAATAAGGTCATGCTGTCACTAGGACTAACAGTGTGGTACTGGAATGGGATCATTTCTAAATGAAGCCATCAGAAATAGCTAATACTCTTATCATCCCAGACAATTATTTTCCTTTTTTGATTACTAACTTCTCTGTTATTGGTAAATATTAATAATATCTCCCTTTTCTTGCATGAGTTGTACAGATCTGAATTCTTCTCTCCTGCTTTACACCTCAGTTCCCTGTAGAAATTTAGAATACCTTTTGTTTATAATTTTTTCACTTTCAAGAATGCTTGAATTAAATGAAGCTCTTCCTGCTGTATAAAGCTATGATGATTAACAGCTTTACATTATTTTGCCTTTCAGTATACTGAAATTGGTATTTTTCCAACAAATTCATATGGGATTCTGCTAGAAGGTTTCCTGCAGCAACTATATGCGTGCCATTACTTCATTTCAATATAGTACCTAAATAATTTTGTTTACCTGGCCCAGTACATTATCAGCTCTCCATTCTAGTAATTTACATTGCAAATTCAAGACTAATTTGCCAACAATTCATATCCTGCAATTCTTTGTCTTCAGCCAATGCTGCTTTGCAGGCTTATTCCTTCCAGTGGGTTTCTAACTTTCAGATTATTCCTCCCAAACACCCAATTCTGCTTTTCTGTAGTCCACTTGTTTTATTTATTCTGATATAACTTCTGCATACTCTGATACAGTACAGAATCTGCAAATATAACCAACATGATGGTCTTTTAGTGGACATGATACATGACATATAATGGAATCTACCAGACCTTCTGGTACTTCAATAAAAACCTGATACAAAGAAATACTTAATTCTTCCGTACTGTCAATTCATGGCCTTTCACTGTCATTAAAATCCACACATCACTTTCACTTGCTTTTCTAAAAGGCTTTCCACAAAAGGTGACTCCCAAGCAGTCCTGGATCTCTCAAGTAAGCTCAATGACTGCTGTGAGGCTCACTTACACACGAGGATGTCCAGGAACTATTTAAAAATTCTATAAAAATCACAACCTAAATTGTCTGACATAGTGACTGTTTATAAACCTAGAACTGACTGCAGTTCACAGTTTCATTAGTGTTCAAATATTTAGAAAATGTTTTGTTTTGTTACTAAGGCTAGACATTAATCTTATAGATAAGAACTATCGCTCTTGCATCCTTTCTGGATGCCAGCACCACAGTTAGTTCCCTTTTGCTCTGCACAGTCCCTGAATCTTCAAAAAAACCCAAACAACTAAAGTAAAACAAACCCAAGAATCATCAGAAGAGCAGCAAATTAGAGATTAAACTTTCACCGTTTATTTTAAAAGAACAATTATTTATTTTATCCGGTTTTTAACCACTTTATTTACTTATCCTGTTGCTGTGGTCTGTATTTGGTTGCCATTTCTATTTTTGTTGTTTCTTTTTTTTTTTCACTTCAAGTACTTTTAAAAGAGGTACTAACATTTTAAGCCCTTTAAAGATGAATGCCATTATTTTTCCATTTGTTTATGATTTCGCACTTTCAAGAATGCTTGAATTAAATGAAGCTCTTCCTGCTGTGTAAAGCTATGATGATTAACAGCTTTACTTTATCTTGCCTTCCAGTATACTCATGTCTTTCTAGAAGTCTAAATTACCTTCTGTATTGTTTTCCTGTGATCTTCTCCCTTTTCTGTCTCTGGTTCACCATATTTTTTTTAAAACCTCAGATATTTGAGAATTTACTTTTCAAACCACATGCAGTACAGAGTTTGTTTTCTGTTTGTGTAGTTAAAAAAATGAACTGAAATACTGGATTTCTTTTTTAATCCTCAACTGGAACACTATGCTGGAGGAACTCAAAACATGTAGTTAACTAGGGGAAAAACATATCTGTAAAATTAAACATTAATAAAGATAATTTACAAATTATGTCGGATCACCTAGATCAGATGATGCAGCCAATGCACTCTTGCAAACCTCGATCCTTCTCATTAATTCAAATTGTACTATTTCAAACTACATAAGAAAGTAGCTAATAAACTGTTTTCTTAAAAACAGGCTATTTTTCTTTTTAACTATTTTGGAGTTTTTTAAAAGGAAAAAACAAAAAAAACCTGTATGTCACTGTGGAACTACTTAAAAACTACAAAAAACAAAGTGTAAGATTCTTTTTCCACAGAAGAAAAATGCATTGTCAAAAAACCATGATTTTATAGATCTAACTTGTCTTTATAATCAAATATCATAACAGATACAAGGAAAAAAACCCCACATTTTCATATTCAGCTGCTGCCAGTTGAACTTCAGAAAATAACCATTAGCTAAAAAGCAGCATTAAGACTGAGTGCAGCTACATGCCTGCCAGACCAAAAGGACAGGATGGTGAAGGACACCCAGGCCAGCCCTCTGCCCTGCACAGGCACAAGTCAGAGCACACTACCTCTCACAGCATGTGCCTTCAGCACTTCTCCACGTCCCATCAAGTCATTTTCCAGCAGTAGTGATGGAAGAAGGAAAGGAGAGCCCAGAGCTGTGTGCTCTGGGGACTTGTACAGATGTGCCTGGGCTGTGGCTGAGCACCTTGTCTGCAGCAAGGTGTCCAGCAGAGAGCACATAATGGGGAAGCAGAGAGATTATTTTTCAAGCCTCAAGTTTCTTCTTGCTGCAAACTCCTGTTTTCTTGCCCATTTGGAAAAGTTCAATAAAAAGAAAAAAATCCAATAATTTATTCTAGTATACAGATATTTTTTACATTTGAAGTTAGTAATTTTGTATTAGTCAACTCATGGTAATAGTGTTGTCTACTAGTCATGGCAAAATGCTGTGGATGAAAACTTCAGTACAGTAATTGATAACATTGACAAACATACCTTCATTTGTTGTAAACGAGAAGAAAAGGACCCAGGCAGTACCCAGGGCAGCACCTGGGAGCTTTGCCATCACTGACTGTGGCCAGGTTCAGTAGGACACGCTGTGCCAAAATTCTGCCAACAGAAAACATTTTTATAAGCTTACACGGGTGCTTCACTTAGGGCAAAGCCACAGCTCTCCCTACTACCTAGGATTCAGATCCCCTGCAGTGCCTGATCCCCCTAAAGTTAGCTTATGGGACACCACAACTGTAAGAGAGTAAGGTTAGTACAAATGAGCTAGAAGACATTTCTGCAAGATTTTAGTTGCAGAGGATATTACCCTGAAACTGACAGTGGATCTCCTCTTTTCAGCTAGTAGGAAAGCAAAGCTGCTGGTACACAAGCTATTAAAGGGGTAGGCACTAGACCAAGACCACTGACAATCAACATATTATCCAAGCCCTACAGTGCCATTCAGATAATCGAATTGAAGAACGAGGTGTTTGATCTATTGACTAAAACAATTTTACCCAGGTCCTATCACCAGCACCCTAGATGATAATATCCTCTCAAAAAAGATTTTAGCAAAGACCTCTGAGCTCTGCTTCAACAGAATACAGATTTATTAAAACAGTAATTAGAAGTTGTAAAACACATACCTAATTACGATATAACCAGCACAACTTTGGAGAAGGAAAATTATACAGCTTTTATATATTAGAATTCTTCAAGCATAGCAAAGCTGTGCAAGTAAACAGAAAACAGATTAACTAGTTAATTTAAGACTTTCAAAAAACTTATTTCCCCACAATTCTTCTGCTGCTGAAACAGTGACTTAGTGGGAGATCATGTTCTGGATCAGATAAGGCAATCAGCTTTCACATCACTAGAAATGCATGCAATGCACTTAAAATTTTGGTCAATTTGTAGGTAAAGTCACGCTACCTGATGTGGAATAACCACTAAACTTTGTTCAGTTCCAAGAGCACCAGCACATTGCCTGTCAATGCACAACCGTTTTGTCCGTTCCTGTCATACTCTTGATATTTTCTTACTACCTGTGCACCTGCAACACTCAAGTGGCACAATGCTTTTGATTTCAAAACCTCCCGCTTCTCTCTGTGTGACTGAGTAATGAGGAGAGAGAACTTCTCAGTAGATCTCCTTTAGCAGGAAAATGGTTTTGGGCTTTCTGCTGAAGTTTTGTTAGATTCTGAAGTAGAGGAGACCACTGAAATCTGTTTATTGGTGGCTCTGCTCCAATTGCAGCAGCAGAACAACTTTTAGACTAACAGATTTTTGCAAAGGATCACCTTCTAAATTATTATCTTAGGAAAAATGTAATGATCTTTCGGAAATATGCATGTGAGCACTGTACACATGTCAAGGATGTGCAGCCTCCAAGGCAGGTTACCAGAGCCATATCTGCTCAAATGACTCCTCTCTAAAACAGGGAAGATTCTCAAGCACAGCTGCTGAGTATTTGTCAAATATTCAATTAGAATAAACAGAAGGTAAGCAACAGCCAGACTCTCTCAGTTCAGTAAGGGAAGGAAAATAATTTTTTTATCAAGATGACCACACCCTTTACTAATAAATATATCTACATAAATGAAACTATTCTAACATGTAGTTGTAGAATCTTAGTTTTTTTTCAATGTATTTAGAAGTACCAACACTTCACTTAGGATCAATCTCTTCTTTAGTATGTCAGATTCAGCTCCAAGGCAATTATCTCACAATTCAAGTCTCTGCACTTGTCAGAAAGGTCACATTTAACGATACTATATTCCTTGCATTCTCAGATGCATGATTGATCATGCTTTAAAAACAAGCTTCTAAAGATTAAGCATGGAAAAATTCAGTCTTAGAGGTTAAAGAAGAAGAAGGTTGTTCATGAAAATAGATTAGAATGGAAACTCATTTGTGGCCTTTGAGGCAGCTACTGCCCATCTAGTAACAAAAGACATACTTGAGAGATGAATTTCTCATAAATGCTCATGAAAACGATTACTCAAGACTTGAGCGTTTCACATTTTGGTAACAGACAAAACATGACTGAGCACAATAACAACTTTTTTGAAAAGAACACAAGTGCCTTTGTTGCTGCTCAGAAAAACAAACCAAAACAAAACCCCAAAAAGACCAAACTTCCCCAGTATATATAAAAAACCCTCCTTGTTTCCTCCTTTTCCTGGAATTCTCAAGAGGAAGTGTTCACTTTCCAGTTCACTGTTAAGTAATACTGTTGCATAACAGGAGTTCCAAGAAACTTTGAAAACTTTGGCAGAGAATCCTGCATCACACACGCCTGTCTCGATCAGCAGATGGCAGAGCAAAGACATCTCTCCCATAGGGGAAAAGATAAAAACATGCTGATGAAAATGGAGTTAACCCATAACTCTTAATGAAACCACAAACTTTTTTAAAAATTAAAAGTAATAGTATTGGACTGTTAGTCCAATGCAAAGGAGAAACTTTTAAAATGGCAATAGGTTTCCTATCTGGTAGCTCTTAAGTTTTTTCTTGATATCAGATAATGAAATACCAATCTTGAAAAAGCATGTAACATACACAAACAACAAAATCACAGCAAACCTAATAATTCCAATATATTTGAGGAAAGGCATAAAGGTATAAAATACGTATGTGACTTCTCCAAAACCATGAAGGAAATTTCTATTGAAGACAGAAGCAGGTCTACGTGATTATTGGCCCAAGTTATGTGCTTTTATCATTTACCACTTCTGTCTCTTAAAAAAAAAGGAAAGATTTAAAATATTTCATTTGCTTTCAAGAAAAACAATAACACATTTTGGTTTGGGCTTCTAAATAAATTAGGGTCACATTTAATCTACAGGCATCATTTGCAAACTGTTATGCTCACAGAGTAACTCAAGCCCCTTGACTGTACTTTCTACGTGAGACTGCTGGATTTACCTTTGCTGCAATTGTACAGGTAAAGGACCACCTCCTATTTTAAAACTGCCTCTTTTTATAATTACAGTACATATTGTATTATTCATTCTGGTTTAAATAATTAGCAGTAACTGCAGAATAAAATGAGATAAGCAGTATCTAGCAAAGCAAAAGTGCATCAACTGATTTTGTATCAGAATTTGAAAAGAAAGAAGTTAGGGAATAATTTCAATCTTTTTTTGTTGCTGCTTTTGATTGATTTTTTTTCTCCAATGCCTACACAAACCAGCAGGCCTACAGGAACATAAACCATAATTTCTGCTCTCTGACACACAGCATGACTGCCAGAGGTCCCAGGCAGGCGTAGGGTGAGAAGCGTGGGTGTTTGACAAAGGGGTTTTCACAGGAATTTGGAAGCTGAGGAGGGAGTCCAGAACACTTTGCCAAGATGAGCTTTACAGGAAAAGGCAGACTGGAAGATATTGAGAAGTTCCAATAATTAATGACAGGCTAAAAGATAAAACTGGACTGGGTGTTACCTGAGCTGACAGTGAAGCGTTTCTGTAAGCGTCTCTGCCTGCCAGGTCCTGCTCAGGGAGCTCACCTGAGCCCTGACTGCCAGAACCCAAACCCTGCCAGGTCCTTAGACCACAGGTTCTTCAGTGAGGAGGCTTTGCCCCGTTTTTTATCCTAAAGGGCATAACGTCCATGTTCCTGCTAATCTAGCACAGTATTTCCTGCATCATTGCATCATCACCAAAGAAGGAATTTAACTTCAGAATGGTCATATAAAAGAGCAAGTAATTCTTTTTCATTCTTTCAAAATGAGTAATTTTCATGTGTTCCTTGTTCCAAAACCTCCTTCATGTAGTTTGGGACACTCACCATTAGTGCCATTTCACACAACAACATGCAACACAGAAATTATTTCTGCATTTCTGGAGCAGGACAGGACACAACTGGATAAACCTCCCTGGATAAATGTGGCAAAAGCCTCTCAAAATGAGCATACGGATTATCTTTTAAAAACTTGAAACTGGTCACTTGTTATTTTCGACATGCTGAAGTTTCTGCATTCCAGCACATTTTCCTATTGAGACGGTAGAAGTGAGCAAAGGGCACAGCAACAGGTCATCTGGGTGTGGAAGGCAAAACTCATAAACTTGACCAACTGCAAATCACAGTCTGAGGGCACCAAGAGAACTTCAGATAGTTTCTGATTTAGAACCGACAGAAAGCACGGAAACGGCTGAACTCAGACATGCTGAAAAGAAAAGCCAAGACCACAGAAGGTGCCCGGGGGGCCGGAGCAGCTCCCGGCCCGCGACC